TTAKTTAGGACCTAATTTTTTACAATGAAGTTTTTATTATCTGAAAAATAATAAGTTTTATTTTGAAAGGATATTATGAACCTTTTATTGTTGAGATTTAAACAAAACAGTTATTATAAAACAATAAAAATAAGGATATTTCTGTAGATCAGCTGATCGTATTAGTAACTGTTTTATTGTGGCGGGGCGGCGGCCATCTTTAACCACGCTTGTGGAGTTTTCAGACCAATTAATACTCAAAGACCAGTGAAGAAGACTGATGTTTTCTTTTTTTTTTTCTTTTTATGAACAAGATGAAATGTGAGAAAACATGAACAGGTCCAGATAAAACATCAGTTGGGTTCAAACTGGTACCACGGACCACCGCTTGGGGACCCTGATTCTAAAAAGCTGACTGTTAAGTTTCATTTCTCCGTCAGACTGTTTTGTTTTGTTATTATTATTTTTTTGTTTTTTTGACACATTTTTGTGGACCTTAACAGAAATCTTTCAAAGCAAACAGCAGGTTTGTGTGTTTTAATCAGCTGACAACCTGCAGACATGTAAACAACAACTGATTCAATCAGAGTTAACCAATGGGAGTAAAGGGGGGTGGGGGCTGGATCAATGGGATCAATAAATCAGCTGCTGCGTCTCTAAACCCGCCGCCCAGTCTCATTACAAGCAGCAAATACTTCCTCTACCATGTACTCAAGTTTTATATTTACTTCTTAAATATTGTTAAATATTATTGTATCAGTTTTTAACGCTCTTAGTTTGAAGGGTAGCTGCTAAAGATGCTACACGCTAACACACTGACACGTCCAACACTGCTTGTAAGAGCGGATGTTTTTTATTTAATTCAGGATAAATGGCAGAAAAATGGAAGTAATTTTAGTGGACTTAAAATCATTTAGTGGAAGCTAATCGGTCCGCTAACAGTTTTCCAAAGTTAGCAAAAAAGCTAATCTGCTAAACGAGAAGCTAGTTCCTYTGTTAGCATATTAGTGGAACTGTGCCCATAACTATGGCTGTGTCCAAATTCAGGGGCTGTGATCCTTGGAAGGACCTGGTCTAGGTGGACCGGATACTTGTTCCACCGTGAAAACCTGAACAAAGTGTCTTTAAATTTGGACGTACGTCTGCCTTTAACCGTAACGACGCTAAACAGAAGCAAAAAAAATAAATCAAAAGGTAGCTAAATATTTATATTAATATTATAAACTAGAGAAATTGCTTTTCCCGTGAAAATGCTCGTGTGAACGCTTCATGGTGAAAACTTCAGCTGAAAGCTGAAAAAATTTAATAGGAAAAGTGTTAAAGTGAG